AAAAAAAAACCATTAAAGATTGTCCAATCAGTCCGAGATAATCACAAGTTTTAGCAAGTTTAATTAATTGTATCAGAGTGGTACACAGAATGATGTCATGCTATTGAGAGAACATTTTTGCCGTTACATTACTAGCAGAAGTTGCTGATAGAAAATGTTTCCGCTTCAATTTATAAGTAAGGAATGGCGAGTGATTAGCCAGCAGCTGTTTCTTGTCACGTGATAAAAGAATATTTCAGAGATTTGTTCAAAGCGTTTGGTTTCCAAACCGCCCCTCCGATACTCACAACATTCACTGTTATTTCATACGGTACCGTGGGTATTCTCGTATTCTTCACCAAAAAAACCCCGCTTTACATGCATCAATTTTATGTTATTTGTAATTGTTCATTGGTTTCCGTATTCTATCTTCGAATGTTTCCTACACATACCGCATGGTTTGTATTGGTGTGCATTATTATCTGGGGTAAGTTACTTCATCACTGTTCAATCTCTCTCCTATTTGCATATCAGATAGCGTACAATCGGATGATTGCATCATTTTACAGTCTCTCTCTCTCTCTCTCCTCAATCATCCATCCCTCCACGAAAATTTCTCTCATTAAGGCATTCGCAAAAAACTGCACCCAAATATATTCAGATGCATTCGCAGTGCTCGCACCCGTCGGTCCGTTGCGGCGTATCAATGAAAAAGCTCATGAATACAGCGATCAGGTAAGCTTGTTGCTTGTCAGCTACTCGGCGCAATAAGCGATGAAAGCACAAGCAACTTCTTTGCAAAATTACACTCTCACAGTGATTTGCTCCTTGCAGGTACTCCGATTCCTCATGTTCACGGCTGAGGACAGAAATAATGAGCCACATGAAGGAACCGTAAGTTCCACCCTATTTCACTTCTCTTCTCACTTGATGCACAAATAAAACAATTTATTCATTGGTCAGGGAAAAATCTTTGCAAATTAATTTTGATAAAATTCTTCATTTCTAAATAATTCATAGCAGTTATTGTTCTGAGGCAGCCTTTTTCTATTACATGAAAACTTATGAAATATCCGAATCATATCTGAAAAACAGAATACCACACATGAGGAGAGGGAAACTGTTCCTTCCTTATTGCTGATTATTCAGACAGTGAACAAATGTATCGTCGAATCGAAACAGCAGAAACCAAAAGCAAGCCGTGAAAAAAGTTCGATAACAAAGTTGGATCCGGTATTTTTTATCGATTTAACACGTTGCAGTGCTGTACGAAGTCGTACGCATCTTCCGAGCAATCTCGAGTAGGCTTTGTTTAAATTACAGGAAGCAGAGGAGGAATGCATTCAACGACGTAAAGCACCATGTTCGAAAAATGACGTGGAAGCTGAGATAGTTGGAAAAATCTCCGCAAACTTTGGAACAGACGAGAAACAAAAAAATGACGAGACAAATTTTACAGTCTACGATGCGTTGAATGACGGATGTAAGAACACTTTCTGATCTTTCTCAAATAACAATATGAACTGGAAATGTTCCTTTCTTCCAATAACATGTAAGTGCTACTCCACCAAAAAATGCTACTTGAGTTTTTTTCTCCATCCGACTAATCCTCGAACCTATCGCAAAACGTGAGGTTAGACTTAAAAGTGGATGTGCTGCATTATCTTATTAAAGTTCACCCACAGTTGAAAAGTCAGCAGTTACTGGGATTATTTTTCTTCACAATTCAGTTTGAAACTCATCAGTTGATGTCATATTTCAATTTAGCATCAGTTCGTCTTGGCATGGGCGACTTCGTTTTCTACAGCTTGTTGGTGGGTAAAGCCGCCGCAACACGAAGTGGAATGTGCGTTGCTGGTTCAGTAATTGGTATACTGGTTGGGCTGGTAATTACCCTGACGATACTGTCCAGCGATGACGAAACCACTCCGGCATTGCCCGTTTCAATTAGCATCGCATTAATACTGCATTTCGGAATTCAACTATTCGTCGAGCCATTCTACCATCAAATTATCATCGCTCAAAGATTGTTTCTTTGAGAGATGCAAATGAGTGCATTTTATCATCCGCGAAAAAAATATTCCTCACTTAAACTTTACAGTTTACTCTCACAAAAGACTCTCAACTTTCCCATTAAACTTCTTACTTAATTGCAAGAATGGCAACAATAATTGTGCAAAGTTGCAAATATGCTCGCTCACACTTATCTACTATTCCTTGCATTTGGGATCAAAAACCAACAAAGAAAAGTTATAATTCGGTTCCTCTTGAGCAACTCAACTATATTAAATGGCTTAAGCTTAAACTTAGAGCTTTGCTATGAATGTTTTATTTCTTTACTTCAACTTGAGTTTTTTATTATGCCGGTGATGAGATTAAAGGTTGAAAATTTAATAAAATTTTCGATATTTCCGACAAATTCCATTGCCTGCTGCTTTTATCATCCTGCTGCTGCTCCTGGTGGTCCTCTATCTCCCTTCACTCCTTGCTGACCTGGCGGTCCCTGCTGTCCTCGAGGCCCATGTATACCTTTTGCTCCTGGATACCCTTGCACTCCAGCATCTCCCATTGCTCCTTGAGGTCCTCGAGGTCCTTGTGGTCCCGGCGGTCCCTTACTTCCATCTTTTCCATCTGCTCCTCTAGGTCCTGGCAGTGATGGACAGGACTGAAAATAAGATTCGCTCATTCTTTGCAGACTACTTCCAATCAGTTTCTCACTTCAACATCATCCACTGGGAAACTTACTTGAACCTGGAAAACGGCGCAGAGAACCAACAGCGAAGTACTGAGTAATTGCACTGATTCCGATAACTGCAAAATAATCGCTTCCTGCAACTTTTCAAATTTTCTTTAAAATTTTTTAATTTCTTGAATTTTTTGAGGTGTAGAATAAAAAGACCTATGAAAAACTGCTTTGAATCCTTTTCAAGATCATACTTTGAATAAAAATCCGATATGGATGGAACTTTTCTCTCATTTTTCATTCATTTCAAATCGTCGCTTAACTAATTGTGATGAATCGAAATCAAATGACTAGAATATCGAAATTCTAGCTGAGTAAGTACGAGATCATTGAACATGCAAAAAAAAGTTTTGAGATAAAAACTGAAATTTTATAAAGTGATTCCAAAGAGAAAATTTCTATTTATACTAAGAAGTTAAACAACTAATATG